AAAGAAACACACTTACTGTTTTCTAAATATTTCTAAGTTTGTAGATCACAGCTACGAAATAAAAACTTAGGACGATTCTCTGCAACTTATCTTTAAGTATCAATATACGCATAAGAATTCTTAGATGTTACGTTTTTAGTGTCCTCCTCTATGGAGTAGAAAGCTGGAGCCTTGCAGAAGATGTCATAAAACGACTGGAGGCATTTGAAGTGTGGTGCTACCGACGCATGTTGAAGGTCTCATATATACACCACACAAGTACGATTACTATTTTCTAGAGGTTAAGAAAAGACAAAGAAATTATTAATATCATAAAAAACAAAAAAATTGCTTACTTCGGCCACATCATGCGTAATGATAAATACCAACTTCTATAGTTGATTCTACAAGGCAAGATTGAGGGTAAGAGATGTAGACCCCGGATGTAGACGTATATCCTGGCTGGCCAATCTTAGGAAATGAACTGGTCTAACGTCAACTGATCTATTTCGAGCTGCTGTAAATAGAATAAGATGGGTCAATGTGATCGCCAGCATATCTAGAAGATAGGCACATTTAGAAGAAGAAGAAGATTGTAGATGCTCGCGCCACGAGGTTGGACTAAGTTGTTATGTTCCCCGAGAGGTGGGATTTCATTTACATAGGCCGATCATGTGAAATTTACAAAATCTAGTTTATACCCTTTTTAAGAAACGTAATAAACCAGATAATCTTAAATCATGAATGTGTTGCTTATGTGAGTCCATTTTAAAAAGGTAAAAAAGAAATAATTAGACTTAGGTACTCACAATCAATTTAATTTTACTACCTCAGACGACCGGTTTCGCTTTCTAAAATTTGCAAAGCATCATAATTTACTTTGTACCACCGACCTGATGATGCTTTGCAAATTTTAGAAAGCGAAACCGGTCGTCTGAGGTTGTAAAATTAAATTGATTATGAGTAAGTCTAATTATTTCTTTTTTGCCTTTCCAGATAATCTTAATTTTAAAAGCTGTTAACTCCAGAGCATTGGCGTAACTTAATGATTTTCCAACCGTAATCGTAAGTGCTTATCGGGTTTGGCAAAACATATAAATATAGCCAATTTTAACGCGGGAAATTTATAGAAGATATTAAACGATAAATTAAGTAAAAAACACAGAAGTTAACACTTCACAATTGTGTATTTTGGTATAAAAACATACAAGTACTTAAAAACTTTTTAAAAATGTCGTCAACATTTAAAATTATGGCAGAACGTTTTCAATCTATACAGATCATCTTCAGTGCCTTTGGTATTTGGTGCTAACAATATGGTGTCTATAAGACTTCCATGTGTTGGTTTAAAAATTTATCACATTTTACATTTAATAATGTTGAGAGTCATCTGACGTATGTTTTTATACCAAAATACACAATTGTGAAGTGTTTTAACTTCTGTGTTTTTTTAAACGATGGTGTACAGCCAATTACGGGGTTTGTCCCATTAATTTTGATAAATTAAGTAATTAAATAAGGTCATATGTTAAGACTATTAAGAATAATAAAAAAATCAATAAAATTAATGGGAAAAAACCCCGTAATTGGCTGTATACCATCGTTTAAAAAAACGCAGAAGTTAAAACACTTTACACATGTGTGTTGTGGTATAAAAACAAACAAATATTTAAAACTTTATAAAAGTGTCGTCAACATTTAAATTCTGGCAGAACGTTTTCAATCTGAAAAGATCATCCTCAGTGCCTTGTGTATTTGTTGCTAACAGTAAAGTTCTCTATAAGATCTCCATGTATGGATTTACAGTATTCCAAATTTTACATTTAATAATGTTTTGACTCCAGGTCGATGACAATTGATATTTTTTTAAATTACTTTAGAGACTACATGTCTCCCTGCTCGAATATTAGCACGAATATAAGCAAACGACAGTTTCAACTGACAAGTACCACGTGTTACCAATCATATGACACCATGTTACCAATTCCAACGGTAACTTAAACATCATAATTTGTAACCACATATAATGTAAAGCAACTGTAAATTTATATCATTTAAAGGGTTTTGACCCATATATTTTGGTGGCTCATAGCATGTATACCTCGTTTGCACTGATGATGGATTTAACAATCCGAGAACGTTTTGTAATATTTTTGTGATAGCCCGTTTGGTCATATTAATTGATCCTCAAATACATAAGGTATTTCAGGAGGAACAGCAAATCTGGGTTTATGATCAGCTGCGACTGATGTCCATACCATAGGGAGTTCTCTTTTCTTTTTATTGATAATGGCTTTCTTACCTTCAATTAATTCTTCCCCATCGGCAAGCAAGTATTCTCGTCTTCTTTATTTTCGGGAGAATCAAATGAAGACGTATTTGATCCATCTGATGAGCGAGTGTGTTCTTCTTCATTGTCAGAACAATCATCTGATGCCAAATACGACTCATCAGAAGAATGATCACTGTCGTGGAATGGGTCTTCGTCGTCTTCTGAAGATATATTAGATTCTGCATCTATGTCATCGCATCAAGATATGTCGCTTATATTATCAGCCAGTTCTTGCAATTCCTTTTGAGTAAGCTTTCTTTTTCTTGACATGCTGAAAAAAACCAATGGGATATAAAAGGCCCGTCCAACAAACCCAGTGGAACACATAAATCCCATGCGATTTCTGATGTAAGTTTTCCAATTTACAAAAGAAAACGAATCTTAGATTAACATGTAGAATAATTACATACACTAAACAACAAACTTACCTTACGATTGTGTCGAAAATAAGTTGTTTTAACTGTAAAAACGTCGAAAAGTAAGAACTACGTGATGACTGCATCGTACATACGAACGAACTGAGCCATCCAACGTTGCCAATATCACTTTAGTAGAGAAACATGTGCAGTGTAGTCGATAAACTCCGATATCGAAGAATTTAATGTAAAACGGGACTTATTTGGAACATCAGTCAAATTGAAACTGTCGCTGGGATCTATAAGTCCTGCTGGGTCCCAAAGGGTTAATGAAGCATCCCAAATTGAGATTCTTGGACATTTTGCAATAGAGCCTACTGCATCAACACGTCAAGTATCTGCAATGACAGGACTTTTACATAGGTGGGTTAGACAGGTGTTAAAATTATATAAATTTCACCCGTACAAAACACAAATTCTTCAAGAACTAGGCGATGATGATCCAGACCATGGACGTATAAACATAGATGGACACAGCAATAAGATACCTTTAACACACAATGTTTTGAAGCTTCGATAGAATGTGATGCTTCCGCAATGAGTATAAGCGTGCTTGAATTTTTACTCGCGGGTAATTATTCAGATTTTAAAAATTGGAAGTACCTAGTAATAATGTATAAAAACACGTTCAAAGAATTAAAAAAACGAGAATTTAACTATTAACAAATCACGTCTTTATAGAAAAATTAAAATACAATTTTATTATATCTTATTGAATACATTAATGAACATGAATAAACCCAATGGTACGCCTATTAAAATGTAAACAAACACGCTTTTTCATTTCCTCATCCTAAATAATGTAAATTTTATGTACTTACAAATGAAATGAAAGACCGGGATGTAAATATTTCGTTTATTTTATTTCACTTTTCACAAATATCACTCAAAATACAGCCAAAATTATCTAAAAACAATTTTTCCTTATTTCCTCAATCGTTGTAAACAAACATGGAATAGCATTTGAAGTTTGACGTAGAACCGTAAAACAGAGAAATGTAAACAACCGTTGCCATTTATAAATAGTTTTCAGTGCTTCTAAATATAAAATAATTTATTGATATCTATTATACGCTATTATTAAATGATAATGCACACTATGTGCACACTTGATATTTTGATTACAATTAGATATATTAATATAACCAATAAATTATTATTTTGGTTTGATAGCACCTGTAGAGTATAAAATACGGAGTAATATTTTCAGCGACTCGCGAATAAGAATTTTTAATAAAAAAACGTGACAACAGTTGGAGGTGCTGAGAATGTGACATATTCAAATAATTTTGACTTCACAATTTTATGTAAATAACTGAGTCCATCTGTGTTTATACGTCCATGATCCAGACCAACGAATTGAGTTTTGTGAACACGTGAATCACAGAAGGCGCGTTGAACCGAGAATGTTAAAAAATATTTGTTTCACTGATGAATGTACTTTTATGCTGAATGGTAATGTAAATAAACAATGTATCACAAGTAGGTGTTTGCAATTTAAACTTTTTTTTGTGGTGGGTGGGGTATAGGGGGTTAATGCGGGTTCTCTTTCATGTCATTATAGTTCCCCCTTACTATTCTAGAAACGGTTTCAAGCGTTTTTCAATATCAGCTTTTGTTCGTGAAATATAGCCCATTCTGAGTTTTAAAATTGACACAGTGTATTTCAAATTTTTTAGGTGTTTTAAAATTGTACACATACCAAACTTCTAAAAAGTTATTTTTAGGACAATTTTCCGCAAATTGTTATCTCAACACGCAGTTCAATAAAAAATATGATTGTAAATGGACAAATATACCTAAGATATTTGTTTTTTTTACTATTTGTAAGTTAATATTTACGAACTAAAAATTCCTCTAATTGTTCTCATTCTAACACTATACCACTGTAGCTGGTTTGGTTAGTAAAAAATTGACTTACAACAAAGAAATTATCCTGAGATCTATATTAACTGATATTATGGATATTTTGTCTAGTTCAGAATGAAGTAAATTTAAAGGCAAAAACAAAAAATTGTCGCCAAAATAAACTTTAGGTTAGGTTAAATAAAGACAAAAAAGGTTTATAACGTTTATAGTTTATAGTCTCTAAAAGGGTTTTAAAATTATAAAGGATTATAAAATTCAATTGTTTTTGTTTATCTTATTATGCTTAGTTAGTTTTTCGTGAACTGAAATGTATTTTAACAACGTTTTTAAGATAGAATGATACAATAATTAAAAATATGTACGGCAAGTGGACCTATGTATTTATTAATTGATTTATTTTTCAGGGAAGACCAATAAGCTACTCCCAACAATACCAAATCACAGAAAGATGGCGAGGAGTAGAACAACCATTGGATGAATTATCGAAAATATTAGATATTTGGAACGCTTGGGGAACAGCACAAACAGAGGTATATTCAGAATTTAAGAGTATACTTTTAACATTTATTTCAAAGTTGTTTCCTTTATATAAAACATGTTACATTTTAGGTAAAAATTTCATTACGGCGAGTTAAACCAGACGCTATGAGACCTTCTAGTAGAAGAGCCAGATGTAGATCAGATTCAAGTACTTGGTCGGATCGAAGTGCCTTCAAAACGATACACCCTAAGAGGTTACAAGCCTTACAAAATGAAAGACAACCTTCAAGTACAGAAGAATTACTTAAGTTAGTGTTGGCGCAAGGAGAAGTGATTCGAAGACAACTTAAAAAACTTAGGTAGGTATTGTATTCCACTTGGCAAAGCATCTTGTTATTGGTAAAACATTTTAGATTTAGATCATTCTTACTACGATCTGCACTAAGTTATTTTTTCTCTTGGTTAATGTCATATCCGTAAAGGGGTAATTTAATCACATTTATTGTTACTTTACGAAGATTATATCAGGACTAGTCAGCGATAGATTCATCAGAAATAAAAGGACGTTATTGTAGTTAACAATAAATATAAAAATTGTATAAAATCGGTAAAAACATACTCTGTAGCTAATATCTCGTGGAATTATAATCCATTTATAGCTAAAATGATTCTTCTTCTTCTTTATGTGCCATCTCCGCGACAGAGGTTGGCAATCACCGTGTGTATGTTTCTGATATGCTCTGATATGCGGCTGCTTTAATAACGAACTGACTAAGGATATCCAGATTCGCCGTGGGGTCCGCCAAGGGTGTATTTTATCACCCTTGTTATTCAATTTATACAGTGAAGCCATCTCAGAATTAGCGCTTGCCGAGATCAGTGAGGGCCTTATAATAAACGGTGAGCCACTTAATAACATAAGATATGCTGACGACACCGTCCTTTTGGCAGGAACACTAGAAGAACTGCAACACCTTGCTGAACAACTAAATATATATTGCAACGATTATGGACTAAAAATCAATTTGAAGAAAACCAAGTTCATGGTATTTACAAAAGCACAAAACATCAAAGTTAAGCTAGTACTAGATAATACAAAAATTGAACAAATATCTTCGTACAAATACCTTGGAGCATGGATCACAGAAGATACTGATCAGACAAAAGAAATAAGATGCCGCATTGAAATTGCGCGGTCAACTTTTAATAGAATGAGAAAACTTTTTTGTAATCGCGATATCAATATATCGCTCCGGATAAGAATGCTTCGATGTTATATTTTCTCTACCCTTTTGTATGGAGTTGAAGCTTGGACACTTAAAAAATCCAACATTAAAAAACCTAGAAGCATTCGAAATGTGGTGTTACCGACGCATTTTGAAAATATCATGGATGGATCGCAAAACAAACGAACAAGTTCTCGAACAACTAGGAAAACAATGCGAAGTTTTAAATTCCATAAAGATCAGGAAATTGGAATACTTGGGGCACATCATGAGAGGTGAAAAGTACGAACTACTAAGGAATATAATGCAGGGTAAAATCAAAGGTAGAAGAAGCGTAGGAAGACGTAAAATCTCGTGGCTACGCAATCTCCGTGAGTGGTTTGGATGCAGTTCAATTGAACTATTCAGGCGAGTAACCAATAAAATTATAATTGCCAGAATGATTTCCAATCGCCGATAGGAGTGGAACTTGAAGAAGAAGAAGCTCTGATTAGCATTAGAATTAGAAGATTAGAAGATAGTTTGATTGAAATACATCTGTACTACTCCGTTAAGTTACACAACCAGGAGTTTCTTCTCCATTCTACATTTCTCCTGCATTGGATTTTCCATTGTATGTATAATCAATTGAAGTACATGTCTCTTACTATGCATGACATGCCCCAGATATTGCAGCTTTCATAGTTAGATGGTGTCCATTATTTCCTATTTTTAACTCTTCTCATGACTTCGTTGTTTGTTTCATGCTAGGTCCACGATATCTTTAGGATTTTACTATATATTCACGGTAATAATGCTTCTAGCTTCTTAGTAGTCACTGCACTATTCCATAGAACAACGTCGAGCACATATAGCACCTTGCTACTTTAAAGTTTAATTTAAGTTCTCTTATACAAAGTACTTTTCTCATTTTATTGAAGTTTATTCGTGCTTTTTAGGCTTAAACATTAATTTCTTTGGAGTAATCGTTTGTGGGATTAGTTATTGTGTCAATATAGTTGTAGTTTTTTACTTGTTCTAAAGTATTACCCTTCATTATCACACTTTCAATATTATTTTGGGTTTTTGATAACCTCATAACTTTAGTTTTCTTGGTGTTTGTTGAGAGTCCATATTCTTCTCCATACTTCATAGTAATAATGCTTCTAGCTTCTTAGTAGTCGCTGCACTATTCCATAGAGCAACGTCGAGCACATATAGCACCTTGCTACTTTAAAGTTTAATTTAAGTTCTCTTGTACAAAGTACTTTTCTCATTTTATTGAAGTTTATTCGTGCCTTTTAGGCCTAAACTTTAATTTCTTTGGAGTAATCGTTTGTGGGATTAGTTATTGTGTCAATATAGTTGTAGGTTTTTACTTTTTCCAAAGTATTACCCTTAATTATCACACTTTCATTATTATTTTGGGTTTTTAATAACCTCCTAAATTTAGTTTTCTTGGTGTTTGTTGAGAGTCCATATTCTTCTCCATACTTAACTGTCTTGTTCTTTGGAGGTCGTGGATGTTGTCAGCCATTATGACAGTATCGTCCGCATACCTAACGTTGTTAGTTTGTGTTCCATTGACCTTTATTTCAGCTGTTTTTCCCTCGAGAGTTTTATTATTTCTTCAAAATATACGTTGAGCAGTAGTGGCGACAATACACATCCCTGTCATACCCCTCCTTTAATTTTGGACTCTTCTGAAGTGTGTTCATTGATGCGTATATATTCCCGCTGCTTATAATATAGATTCGTTATAATTCGAAGGTCATTGTAGTTTATTTATTTTGTGTTGAGAACATCCATCAGCTGTTTATGACAGACTTTATCAAAAGCCTTATGATAATTTATGAAACAGTCGTACATATTTTGGTTAAAATCAAAGTATCTCTGCATGCAAATTAGGTTTCTTCAATGTTCATATCGAGTTTATAGTAAATTCGTATGTGAATGATCTTTAAGAACATTTGAAATATGCGACAGATCACACTTATGGTGCGGTTGTCGTTACATTCTCTAGGATTTTTTTTTGGACACAAATGAATGTTAAGGTCAACTATTTGTTGAGTATGTTACTCGATTAATCAATTACATTAAATAGTTTTAATAGGACATCCAGTACTCATGGATATCATATCTCTCAACTCCATGACCAGGGCCCAAAAATATGACGAAAAATTAAATATCTGCTAACTAAGATCTTAAACATATGAATAAGGAGAAAATAAAAAATGAATGCTTAAGTGATTCTCGTTTTTAATTTATATCGGTATTTTCGGTACTGTTTATCTATATCGAGTTTGTATTGTATGAAAGGTGTGTTTGATGTGATTATGCATTCTCTTTTGCTTGGAAATACTGTTATATTATATTTCTTTCAGGTATGAATAAAACTGACAATTAGTCAGTAAACGAGACAAGGTGAGAGGTATTTGTACAAAAATGAAAGTAACGAAAGCACTAAAATGTTTAAAAATTTTATACCAGCCCTACTATACGGGCCAAATCATCTGAGTAATTATTTATGCAGATTACTCTGAACACGAAGTTCAAAACATCAAATACCCCAGAATCCCGAGACAACTATAGAAGAATACGAAATGAAACAAAGCAGTTGGTAAGAAGAACAAAAAATGAACACTGGGAACTTCTTTCTTCTTCATGTACCATGTCCTTTCAGAACGTTGGTTACCATCATAGCTATTTTAATTTTATTCACTGCCACCCTAAATAGCATGCTTGTATCTACACCATACCAATCTCGCAAGTTCTTCAACCATGAGGTTCTTCTTCGTCCTGGACTGCGTTTGCCTGCTGGGAACAGTTAACAAAAATGATGGAAAGCGACTTCTATGGTACATAAAAACAAAGATGGAGATTCATAAGAAACCAACGGAAAGAATTGGCATAATTGAAGGAATACAATAACATACCAGCAAACGAATGGAAAAGATACCTGATGGAACTGTTTAAAGCAAAAGAAAATATTAATCAAGACAATAACGTACCTGAGTTAAGACACGAAATAGAAATCAGTTTTCAGGAAGTAGAAATAGCCCTAAATTCACTCAAAAATAGAAAGTCACCAAGACCAGACGGAATAACCAACGAGCTTCTAAAATACCGAGGAGAAAATATAACCCTAGAAATGACAAAACTTATACAAAAACTGATATTGCACTGCAAGATACCTAACGCATGGAAAATAGCATAATGATACCAATATTCGAGAAAGGAGATAAAGAAGACCCCAACAATTATAGAAGCTTTACAAATCAACAAAGCCAACAAATCTACTAAACACCACACGTAAGCTTACCACAACCAGTGTAGTCATAACCAACAAAATCAATAAACTAACAACTTTATCAGATGAACAACAAGGATTCAGATTCGGAAGATCTTCGACCATCGAGTACAATAAACCAGCATATATATGTTTTATAGACCTGACAAAGGCTTTTGATCGCATCCAAGTCGAAGACGTCTTACACTTACTGTATAAAAGAAACATACCAATGAATATTATACAAACCATTGAAAACATCTACGTCCATAATCGAATACAGGCAAAGATAAATGGAAAACTGACACAGTGTATACCAGTACAAAGCGGAGTAAGACAGGGTGACTCGTTAAGCCCACTTCTCTTTAATATAATAATGGAAGAAATAATACAAGCAGTACGTGAAGGTCATGGCTACAGAATGGGGAACAAAGAAATCCAAATATTATGTTATGCAGACGACGCCGCATTAATCGGCGAGACAGAAGACGAGCTCCAAAGATTAACATGTATCTTAAATACAACAGCTAAGAAATCGAATATGATTAAATCAGCAGAAAAAACCAAATGTATGACAACATTTAAATACCCACTACGGTGTAAAATCGAAATTGATGGGAAAATAATTCCCAAAAACAGGAAACGAAAACGAAAACATGAGTGGAACGAACACATCAGTAGAATGGAAGACGATAGAATAGTACGAATAGCACGAGATAAGTCACCAAATGGACGAAGAAGTATTGGCGACAAAGAAAAAGATGGTGCGACAATTTAAACAATTTAGGAGGCTAATATTGAAGAATAAACAGGCTTTAAAGCCTACATACCAGAAGGAAGAAGAAGAAGAAGACTCTGAACCGATAAAAAGTTTTCATAAAAAATTCATCTTAAATCGATATTTGAATGCAAAGTACACCTACTGGGGCTCCAGACTGATCAACAACAAGGGGTGTGTAGTCAGAGGGCATAACTGCAACTTTTACGGGATTGGCAAGCCAAACTATTGGCTAACATATATTAATAAGATACTGCCATTGCTAGCTCCATCAAAATAATTTAAGCTTTCCAGAATAAAGTACTAAGTGAATGCTCTCTGGTGAGAAATAGTGATCTTAACAGAGTCCTGGGTATGGAAATAGCTGCAGATGTGATTAAAGTTTAAAAAAAAAGCATAAAAGCATTTTTCTAGCCATAGTAAATGTGGAGGCTATTTAGCTACTAGATTAGCATGAAATAGTGTGAGACTCAGGAGAACTAAACCTTTTGACTTGGTGTAAAACCTTTTTAGTCGAAGTAAATATTTTGGGTTAAAAGCTGAATAATGTGTATGTTAATGCTGAGTTAAGCCGGCTAAAAAATTAAGGAATGTCACCGGGGAGAACTCAAGAAATATTAGATATTATTAAGACTGTTAATAGAAAAGATTTGCTCGTTAGTTTCATTTTTATGACTAGTTGTAAATATCACAAGCACTGCTTAGGTGTTTTATACAAAAAAATGTGCATAGCAAATGCTGTTTAATTTACGTCATATTATATGATTGGGTTGTATCGTATTTCTACTTTTTAATCACTGAAGATATATAACTACAATATTGAGTAGTCCTGTCAGAATTCATTTTGGACTGATCGTTTTTCTAATATCAAAGTATCCTAATATATCTGGTTATTTAAACAAGTTGTTTTGTAGTTTTTTTATTATATTCAATTGATTTTGATAAAGTCTGTCTCAAATATTACATATACAGTTGACCTGGTTGTGGATAATGGAATTTTGTCAAAATTTTCCAACGACATTTTAGCATTCTTTGTGCTTTAGTTTTGTGTCTTCCGTTTTATTTTATTGCTCTGAATATTATTTAAATTTTTATCACTCTTGACCGGTTAATTAATTTGCTACATTTTTTAGGCACAGCGAACACCAAATAGGTTACCTAGAGGATAAAACACATCGTGCCAGGGTCAGGAAGCACGGCAGCAATTATTTATTAGAAACATATCTAAAAGGACTTTCAGAAGCTGTAGATCCAGAACAAGATACCTTTATAGCAGACAAGAACAGTGACAGCGGAGTGATGACGGAAGGAGATAGTGAGCAGTCCAATACCAACAAGCCGAATAGAAATGGAGAGGTACATAATACAATTAATTCTATTATTTGTTAAATTTCAGATTATTCAGATTCATTTTTATTCAATCAAGTGAAAATCATAACAAAAATTAATATTAAACTCAACAGTATTTCGGGTTGAACTGCGTTGATTTTCATTGCGCCAAGCTTTCGACATCCTCTCTGATGTCTTCTTCGGAGCTTCCGAGGTCCCAGTCTGCCGAGTCCCCAGCACTCTACTACACTGATCAATAATTACTTCACTACTACTACTGGGAACAGAGGGCGGTTCATTTATAACGTCGATGGAGACGTGGTCTGAGTGGAGGTTGACGGGAGAGTCATCGTGGGAATTTAAATTCGCAGATGGAGCGTACAATATTTTCTTTATGAGAGGTTTCCATGTAGAATTGTAGAAGGTATCCGTATGCCGTCATCTCTTTTATTGAGACAATTCTATGGCATTTTTTAATTCTATGGAAAAGAGTTTTTGACGAAGGATAAAGCATTTTCGGCGAAAGGTTGTAGAGTTTTGGCCAAATACTTGGCCAATTGTTGTGTAGGGCACAGACAAGACAGTACATGGCGTAGCAGCACAATTTATCAGTCTCTGTGCCTCTGCGACGACGTCATTTCGGCCTACCATGGCCTCATCCGACATTGGGGTTCAATACAAAATTAAACATAAATGACCAACAAATGTCTCCTAACTGTTTGCAACTCAAATGATAGCTTACAAAAGGCCATCTACGTTGATGGCAATAACTAAAAATAAATTATTTGTATGAATGAACGAAATGTATAAAAGTGTATATATCTTCTGTCAAAAACTTGCAATTGCTTTAATGTATTTAAAATTATATATGGCATAGCAGTATAATTTATAAGTCTGTGCGTTTAAATTAGTAAATAACACAGCATTATGTCTTCAGTTCGGCCTTCCATCAGCTGAGTAGACGTTGTTTTAAATACATTAAAACGATAGCAAGCTTTTGCTGGAAGGTGTAAACTTTTAGACATATTAATAAATTGTGTAGTCCATGGCTATCAAAGTAGATGGTACCTTTGTAAGGTATTAGTTGAGGAGAAAACAGATAGGCGTAATGTGTTGGTATTTTGTGATTTTTTTGTGTTGAGCCTCAGCCACAGTCGGATGAGCTTATGGTGGTCCGTAATGACGTCGTCTGTGTTGTTTATCAATTAAAACGAAGAAGATGTCAAATTGTACTTCTACACCATAAAAACTGTCTTAAATGCATCAAAACGATGGTAAACTTTTGCCAGAAGATGTAAATTTTTACATATAAACGTCGAAAGGACCACAATTCGTCAAACTTACCGTGTATTAATTGGTATCAATAGACTGTTATAACGGTAGTTCTGTATCCCTACGTCTTCAGACCATCGAGTAGATACAAGTGGTATTTACAGAAAGTGCTATCTACTTTTATGGCGAAAAACGAAAATGAAACGATTTACTACTATCGTTTCTATCTTTTCAAGCTAAACGAAATTTGTAAAAGATTTACAGTTTTCAACAAGAGCTTTGCTACAGCTTCGATGAATTAAAACACCGAATATACGAATAAACAGCAAAAGGAGCACAATAAATCAAACCTTCCGTGTATTAGTATCAATAGACTGTTATAACGTTATTTCTGTATCTCTAAGTCTTCAGGCAGTCAGAGGCTACACAAGAAGTACTGAACTGCATAAGCTAATTATTCTCTGGATTAGGACACCTTATTTACACCTATTCCAGGTCCTATATACCTATACAATGTTCACTATTAACCATTGGGACTTACTGTTGATGAGATGAGAGCTTACCCATCGAGTTTTTCATGTCTTGAGTAAGAGCGAACTCAGGCTCACAGTCTTAGACTAGTACATATTTATGTTAGATGGTTTTAAAAAAAACCTCTGGCTAGTTTTTAACATTCATTTTGGTACATTTTTGTAAACCCAATTCTCTTTATACAGTGTGGAAACCACTTATGGAATAAAATTGTTTTATTGTCCTTATTATAGAAAATAATCAAAAACTCTGGGACACGTTAACTTTTATATTTAAATGTGCGCTTTTTAAACATAAGTTTAAATGTAAAGGTGATCCACGCACGTCTGGCATAGTCCATAATTCTTATTTTTAATGAAACACCCTGTATATTTGTATGTTTTTAAAATAATTTTAACAACCTGATTTCAATTAACTATATCATGTAGGGTCTATAATGAATAATACAAGGTGCAATTTTGAAATTAATAATTTATCACGTGTTATGATATTATTTTAAATTAGCTAAATACAGACAATAGACTTCTACTCTAAGTGTCAGTACACTGTATATTGGGGAAAATTTCTGTTTAGTAACCGTGTTAACATTTTTTGTCGTGAATAGGTAAAAACTGTGTAGATAGTCTGCTAAGTTCTAATTAAACTAAATCGGTAAATAATGCGGATTGTTATCAATTGACATTTTACATTAAAATAATAAATTCTTAATTAAAAACGGTTAAAAAATAAATTAAAATTAAAAACGATTTAAAATTAAAATCAAAATCTCAATTTCGTGGGCCTTAGTTAAATGAAATATTTAACTAAGGCCCACCAAATTGAGATTTTAATGATGATCGGTTACAGGGAGAATTGTAGAAGTCAAGTTGAAGTAGTAAACTTATTTGATCAGAGGTATCCTCAGTTGCCTAATATTTCACAAGGTACTGTGTCTAAAATTTATGCATAACTCAGAGAACTTAGATATGCCAAACCATTAAAAAGAAAATCAAACTTCATTGAAGATGAAGTGAAAATGGATATTTTGTTAAAAGTCGCAGAGAATCCAACGTCAAGTTCACGTCAAATTGCACCTCAAAATAATGTGAGTCACACAACTGTCCTAAGGTGTATCCATGAAGAAAACTTCATCCATATAAATTGACATTTGTGCAGGAGCTAACCGAAGACGATCCGGATCGTAGAATGGATTTATAGATCCGATAGATCCAATAGATCCGATCCTACCGCATGAAACTGTCTGGTTCCAGCAGGACGGTGCAACACCCCATTATGCTTTAATGGTGAGAAATTAATTTAATGAAATCTTCTTCAATAAGTGGATTTGATGAAGGGGACTATGAGCGTCCAGCTAGGTCGCCAGATCTTACCGCTTTGGATTTTTTGTGGGGTTATCTCAAGAACAAAGTATATGCAACCCAATCAACTATCATTGAAGACCTCAAAAAGTAAGGATAATTACAGAAATACGGAATATTTCACCTCAAACTTTAAACAAAGTTCTAAACGAGTTTTATAGGAGACTGTGTTATTGCCAACAACAAGCTGGAGAACATGTTGAGCATTTATTTTAATGTAATCCAATCAATTACCTCGGGTATTATATGAATTCATTATCTTGAAGAAAATACCTAATTTCAAAATTTCACCTTGTATTATTCATAATAGACCCTATATGATATAGTTCGTTGAAATCAGGTTGTTAAGGAGCTTTTAAAAACATGAAAATATACAGGGTGTTTCGTTTAAAATACAGATTATGAACTGTTCCAGACTTGCATTGATCACCCTGTACATTCAAATTTATGTCTAAAAAGCGTACATTTAAATATAAAAGTTAAGGTATCTCAACGTTTTTTATTATTTTCTAAAATAAGAACACAAACAATTTTATTCCATAAGTAATTTCCACACTGTATATACCATTGACCCTCCCATATTGTCATTTTTTAATAATTTAAATATATTATTTTTAAAATCTATAAAACACTAATTATATTTTTTTCTTTTCAGACACTCTCTGAAAGATTTTCTCCATATTCCGAGGAATCAAACAAGGACACAAAGGACGATGATTCTAGTTCAACTGTAAGCGAAGCTACAATTAAAGAACAAGTCGGTCTATTTGAAAAAATTAACAAACTTAATAAACGGCTCCTGAAAGAAGAAGAGAATCTAGTACGATTAGAGGCAAACTTAAAAAAATACCAAAAGAATGAGAAGAACAAAGAGGAAGATGTTAGTGAGACGCTCACAAAACTTAGAATGGATATGATCAAGAGTTCTTGTGAGATGCAGCACAACGAAATAGTTTTAGAAGAAACTGTGGAGAAATTAGAAAATAGGAGAGTATTTTTAGAGAATCTTCATCGAGAGTTAGTAAATGAGGATCAAGAGCATGAGATGCTTCAAGCCTTATTGTTTACCAAAATGCAACAATTTGATCTAGAGAAAAGAAAGAGTAAAACCCAATATGTCTACCAAACCAAAGAATTGTTGGATACCTTAGTTTAGTAGTTTTGTATATTTTCTAAATTAATACCAAATATTGTGTACCTAAAGAGCTTTGTTAACAGTAGTGATAAGTTCTATTCAAAATAATAAAAAATTGTTGATGTTTTGTAATATATATTTTAAATATTGCTACTGATTTTTAGTTCCTCCCAGTTTAGTTAAAGTAAATAAGTAATTCCTTAAACATTAACAAAATTATAAAAAAGAGCCGGAACTAGTGAAGATTTATACAAAAACGAGGAGATTCCATTTGAAGATCACCAACTACCACCTAACTAACTAGACCAACTAACTATCATAAGGGTGCGTTCATTACGGAGACCATCGCATCGTATCCTCGCCTAGAGCGTAGCACTGACAGTGAACGCTCGCATTTAAAATAATGCATTTATTTTACGTAAAATCAATAATATGATACTTTCCCAAGGTCAGAGTGAGGGTCGGCGCTCATGTATTCCTTGCTATTTTAACGACTCTTGTGTCACTATTACACTGATGTAATTATTCCATTCGTTTTTATATTTGGTGTCCACTCGTCTATACCTTGTACATTAAATTTTTTTCTAATCTCGTCACTTCTTATTCTGTCTCTCAACGTTTATCCTGTAATTCGTGTCGGATCTTGTTTCTGATGATTACGTCATTATTGGTTGTATACTGGCCTTACAGGCTTTTATCTCTCTATTTTACAAAAGATATATAATATTTTTCAGTATTACTCTGTCAAATGCTTTCTTCAAGTCGACTAAATATAGAGATGGAGGTTTGCACCATTTTTTTACTTTGAGAATCGTATTCTAATGCTTTCTAGTTAATCTGTTTTATGACGAATGTTGTATATGTAAATGACCTTCCCTTACAAAAACCTTGTTTTTAATCTGCCAATTTTATAAGCTGATTTATTCGTTTTTGCAAAATTTTGTTTGTAAGTTTTAGTGAAGTATTTAGCAAAATATTGCTTTATATAAAAATGGTGATTACTATTGCAGCATGCGGAACTGTGGCAAGTTGTTGAGGAGGCGGGCCTCTGTCATACAATCAGCTACAGACCAATAACAATAACAACAACCACAAGTGAGCGAAACAACAACAAGAGCTTCACTCGCTAAAGGTGCTACGTTGGAACATCAGCTGGCGCTCACCTTAGCGGGACTACCAAGGCAGCGCATGAAATGGATTGTGTCTATAAACGAAAACATTTTATGCTTGTATTAGAAGGTGACTAGCCAAGAAACGATCGGCTATCGACAAAAACTATATGCTGAATTTTGTAGGTAGTACGTTCCCAGACATTCAAGTATCAGAACAACGAATAGCAGAGCAATACCGGGTAATTATAAGAAATAATCTTATCCCAGAGACTAGGCGCGATATCATTAGAAACGAAATCGAATGTGAGATTCAAAATCAAGAGATCAGAGAATAACATCTTAATAGAAAATAAAAAGAAGAGGAAAAGTTGGATGAATGACAATATGCTACAACTGATGGAAGAAAGAAGAAAATCAAAGAATAACAAAAGGGAGTACAAAAACATTCAAAGACAAATAAGAACCGCAATACGAAAAGCCGAAAAAATTGGTTAAAAACACAGTGTGAAGAGACATGAGTTGTTAATGGTACTCAACGACTAACAAAAATTTTCAATGACATATATTTAAACGGATTAATACCAAGATCGTGGCTGAAGTCAACAAAAGAAAACAAAATCCGTATCCTTCAATAATTTCCGGACCATCAGCTTAATGAGCCACATTTTAAAATTATTTCTATAAATCATACATCAAAGGATATATAGACTATTCGAAGAAAAAATTAACCGTACACTGTTTGGTTGTCGGAACGCAGAAGGTACGAAAAAGGCTCTCTTTAGCCTACAAGTGCTATTTTTACGATGTAGAGATGTGAATTACGATATTTGTTCATGCTTCAACGATTACCATAAAGTGTTCGATACAGTAAAACACGACAAGGTGATAGATATATTAACAAATATTGGAATAAACACATATGATCTAATTATTAGCAATCTTTACTGGAATCAAACATTGTCTATCCGTACAGAGGCAGGAGAATCCAGTGATATCAAAATCAAACGTGGGGTCCGACAGGAATCCTATCACCCCTGCTGTTCAATATAAACTCTGAGGAAATCTTTGAAGAGGCATTAGGGGATATTAAAAATAAGCGGATGGCCCAGTAGTATCTGGCTGATTGGTCTTTACCAAAGCCATCTAATTAAGAAAAAAAAGAGAAGGTGGTATTCGCTAACAGTGATTATCACACGTCGCTAACATCTAGGAGTTAATAAATAGAATCATAGAATTGAGTCAGAGATATGGACTTTCACTGAATATTTAGAAAACAAAATGTATACCTAATAATCTCTAAGAATGAACAGCAAATTAAAAGAATCAGTGTAAATTGTCAACCAATAGAAAGAGTAAAAACATGCACCTACCTTGGTACGAACGTCAATGAAAAGGACCATACCTTAGAAATCAAATCTAGGATAGAGAAAGCAAGGCATTTAAAAAATGGCTAAACTATTCAAATCCATGATTTATTCTTCTTCTTCTTCTTCTAGTTCCTATCCGTTTCGGATGTTGGAAATCATATTGGCAATCATAACCTTGCTCGCTGCGGCTCGAAACAGCTCCGTTGAGGTTTTCTTAAACCATGTTCCTAAATTCCGCAGCCATGATATTCTCCTTCTACCGGGTCCGCGCTTACCTTTGACTTTACCTTGCAATATAGACTGTAGCAGGGAGTAACGGTGCTGATTTCTCATAACGTGTCCCAGATATTGCAATTTTATGCGTTTGATCGTAAACACAATCTCTGGTTCCTTCTTCATTTTTCCTAGAACTTCCTTGTTCGTGATCCTTGCTGTCCATGATATTCTCAGCATTCTTCTATAAAGCCACATCTCAAATGCTTCAAGTTTTTTAATAGTGGCGTCTGTAAGCGTCCATGCCTCCGCCCCGTACAACAACACAGAGAAAACATAGCATCTCAAATGTCTCATTTTTGTATCAAGGATATGTTGTGACTTTTGAAGATGGCGCTCATTTTGTTAAAGACCGTTCTTGCCTTTCCTATGCGGCACTTTATTTCCTGTAAATTGCTCCACTGTTCGTTAATAATAGTTCCCAGGTAACAATACTGTTTTACTCGCTCTATCTGCGTCCCATTAATGTATATATGAGCCCCATTTATATTCTCCTTGCTGATAATCATTTGTTTCGTTTTGTGGGTATTAATGTTTAGTCCGTACTGTTGACTGTACTCGTTTATTCTGTCCATTAGCCTCTGAAGTCCCTCTAAACTATCTGCTATCACCATGGTGTCGTCGGCATATCTAACATTGTTTACTCTTTCACCATTTAGAAGGATGCCTTCGTCTATTCCGTAAAGAGCCTCGTTAAAAATTTTCTCTGAGTACATATTAAATATCAACGGCGATAGGATACATCCCTGTCTAACTCCAAGTAGTATTTTTATGTGATCTGTTTCTTCTCCGTTAATTTTCATGTATGCGGTCTGATTCCAGTAGAGTTCTGAAATTATTCTGAGGTCTTTGTCATCCAGGTCTGCCTCTTTTAAAATGTTTATCATCTTTGATGTTGAACTCTGTCAAATGCCTTTTCGTAGTCGATCAAGCACGCGTATACGTCGCAGTTAACGTCCCTGCATCTTTGAATCAGTACCTGTACTCCGAAAAGTGCCTCTCTGGTACCCACTGCGTTAATGAAGCCGAACTGTCTGTCCGATATTTGTTCCTCGCACTTCTTATAAATTCTTCCATGGATGATTCTAAGAAACAGTTTCAACATGTGGCTCATTAGGCTGATTGTTCGATATTCTTCGCACTTTTTAGCCCCCTGTTTTTTAGGTATCGCTATGAATTCTGATTCTAGCCATTTATCAGGGATGATTCCTGTATTGTAAATTTTATTGAAGACAGCCGTGATCCAAATTATTCCTTCTTCCTCCAAGAGTTTTAAAAATTCAGCTTCGATATTATCAGGCCCTACAGCTTTCCTGCTATTCATCCGTTTTATTGCTTCTTCTACCTCGGATTTAAGTATGTCCGGGCCCGTCATCCTCTCTGAAAATGGATGCCTATAATCCGTTCTTTGGTCTTGAAAAAGTGTCTCCAAATATATTCTCCATCTGTCTTTCATCTCTTGGGTGTCAATGATTAATTTTCCATTGGTGTCTATGAGTTTCATTTGTGTTCGCTTTTTAAAAGTACCCGTTATTTCTTTTACCTTTTTGTGTACATTAAAATTGTCATGCTTGGCTTGTAGTCTTTCTATTTCTTTACATTTCTCTACAGCTTCTTTTTCTTTAGCTTCTCTTATTTTTCTTCTGATGTAAGCCTGCATTTTTTTATACTCATCTTTATTTCCTTTAATTAACCTTCTGCGTTCCATTAAATGAAGGATTTCTGGAGTCATCCAAGATTTCTTCTTTGTTTCTTTGTTTGGTTTTAACAGATCTTGTTTAGTTTTCTTAATTATTTCTTCGAATTGATTGATTTCTCGTTGGATGTTATTTTCTTCTTTTAGTTGTTTAACTTGGTTGTTAATATATTCCCGCACTTTTTTTTAACTTCCGGATGTTGCAGGCCTGTCATGTCGTAGTTAGGTCTAGACTTTTTCTTTATTGTCTTCAGTCTCACATCCATGACTCCCACTAAAGGTATGTGGTCAGATTCAATGTCCGCTCCTGGATATGTTTTGACAGATTTAAAACTGTTTCTGAATCTTCTATTTACCTATATATAATCTCTCTGGTTTCTAATTACGTTATGGGGTTTATCTGCTGGTGCCTTCCATGTATACAATCTCCTCGGTGGTAGTTTATAAAATGTGTTCAGAACCACTAGCTTGTTATCTTCTGCGAATATTTCTAGTCTGTCACCTATTTATTAGTACCTATAAAAATCAGGTTACTACGATGTTATATATTTTCTATACAGTTGTACGGAGTTA